TTAAAGTGCAGTTTAGAGTTTTAATGTTTGTTCTTAAGGCCTTGCATGGCCTAGCTCCCGAATATATTTTGCATCTTCTTCAGGTTTATCAGGCCACTGAGGTCATTTCAAACATTATATAACCTGCCTTTGGATGTTAGATATTAGATGCTGTACTACGTTGGGTCATTTTAAATCACGTTTGAGGCCACATTTACGGGCCCAGGCATATGGTGGAGCTAGTGGTTAATTGTACCTTTATTTACTATTGTTTGGTGTTTTAAATTATATTTTTGTTGGGTGTTTTATATTTTTTTGGAGTTTCGTTATTTAAGCTATTGAAATGTTATTTTAATGGAAAGCACTTAGGTCAACTCTAGTTGTTTTTAAATGTGCTATACAAGTAAACTAAACTAACAAACAAACCTTTTTATTTATTTATTTTATTTTATTTATCTATCATTATTTTTTACTTTTGAAATTTCTGTAGACAACACAATATCATATGTGATTTTGCTTGCTCACAATGATAATGTAGTGGAAACAGTTTTGGTGGCAGCGCTAATCTGAATTTGTTTGGTGGTTTTTGATTTGTTTGTTATAAGGCTTTGAGTTGTTAGTGTATGTGCTCTGAAACATTGAGCTGTGATGCTGATGTGGTCTACACGTGTTCTAGCCCAGTTCACAGCTTGATGAATGTCAAAGCAGTCATCTTCATTTTCAGCTCTGCTTCAGCGTAGAAGCGAGAAGCCTTTTCCACTCCAGCATAACCCCGTGTTTGGATGTTGGCGGTGTTTATTTGGGTTCGGCTGTGTTTCACCCCTGTGGTGAAGCGTCTGAGAGAGACGGATCACAGGCCGTTGTGTGTGTGGATTATCACCTCCGCTGGCGAGAGATGGTTCAGGCGTCTGGAGGCCCAGCGTCCGTGTCCTTGAGCCTCTCACCTCCTCTGTCTGAGCCGCCACAGTCTATCGACAGACGCTCATTTGATTTGTGTGTGTGTGTGTGTGAATGATGCAGACATGGATCAATGCGGTGTCTGGACACGAGATCTGGAGAACACCTGTATGGAGGAGTGGGCCAAAATCCCTGCTGCAGTGTGTGCAAACCTGGTCAAGAACTACAGGAAGCGTCTGACCTCTGTAATTGTAAACAAAGGTTTCTGTACCAAATATTAAGTTCTATTTTTCTATTGTATCAAATACTTATTTCATGCAATAAAACGGAAATTAATTATTAAAAAATCATACAATGTTATTTTCTGGATTTTTTTTTTGATTCTGTCTCTCACAGTTGAGGTGTACCTACGATGAAAATTACAGATCTCTCCATTCTTTGTAAGTGGGAAAACTTGAAAAATCGGCAGTGTATCAAATACTTATTTGCCCCACTGTAAATTCAGTGGTGAATGCCGGTTTCTTTCATGAAAGGTGTATTGCAAAAATTTTTAAGTTGTCAAGGTTGTATTTGTATCTGGGGATCCTCTTGTTCTGTTGAATCATCTTCAACTTCTACAAAATGCAATAACTAGACTTTTGACTGGGACTATGAAGCAGGTCAGTGTTTTCCCAGTGCTAACCTCGCTGCATTCACTCCCAGTTAACTTTAAAGTGCAGTTTAGAGTTTTAATGTTTGTTCTTAAGGCCTTGCATGGCCTAGCTCCCGAATATATTTTGCATCTTCTTCAGGTTTATCAGGCCACTGAGGTCATTTCAAACATTATATAACCTGCCTTTGGATGTTAGATATTAGATGCTGTACTACGTTGGGTCATTTTAAATCACGTTTGAGGCCACATTTACGGGCCCAGGCATATGGTGGAGCTAGTGGTTAATTGTACCTTTATTTACTATTGTTTGGTGTTTTAAATTATATTTTTGTTGGGTGTTTTATATTTTTTTGGAGTTTCGTTATTTAAGCTATTGAAATGTTATTTTAATGGAAAGCACTTAGGTCAACTCTAGTTGTTTTTAAATGTGCTATACAAGTAAACTAAACTAACAAACAAACCTTTTTATTTATTTATTTTATTTTATTTATCTATCATTATTTTTTACTTTTGAAATTTCTGTAGACAACACAATATCATATGTGATTTTGCTTGCTCACAATGATAATGTAGTGGAAACAGTTTTGGTGGCAGCGCTAATCTGAATTTGTTTGGTGGTTTTTGATTTGTTTGTTATAAGGCTTTGAGTTGTTAGTGTATGTGCTCTGAAACATTGAGCTGTGATGCTGATGTGGGCTACACGTGTTCTAGCCCAGTTCACAGCTTGATGAATGTCAAAGCAGTCATCTTCATTTTCAGCTCTGCTTCAGCGTAGAAGCGAGAAGCCTTTTCCACTCCAGCATAACCCCGTGTTTGGATGTTGGCGGTGTTTATTTGGGTTCGGCTGTGTTTCACCCCTGTGGTGAAGCGTCTGAGAGAGACGGATCACAGGCCGTTGTGTGTGTGGATTATCACCTCCGCTGGCGAGAGATGGTTCAGGCGTCTGGAGGCCCAGCGTCCGTGTCCTTGAGCCTCTCACCTCCTCTTTCTGAGCCGCCACAGTCTATCGACAGACGCTCATTTGATTTGTGTGTGTGTGTGTGTGAATGATGCAGACATGGATCAATGCGGTGTCTGGACACGGCACACACTAGCGGTCACTCTAACTGACATTGATCAGAAGAGGAGAAAGAGCAAGAGAAAAAAGGAAAAGATAGTGGCAGATGAGGAGAGTAATGGAAAGAAAATGAATCTCATTCGCTCAATCTAAACTAGACTGTCTAGTAATGATTTTATCTTTTAGTCCTGTGCTTCTCAACTGGTTTTACTTTTTGTTACACAAGAAATCAAGTGCATTGCAAAAAAAATGGCAACTTATTTTAAGTTACTTTAAGTTACTACTTGTTTTCCCTTCATCAAATCTAAGTATCAAAAGTACGTTTGTCTAATTTTTAAGTTAAAACATTTAAAAGTCCTTAAAACAAGGTTTACTTCAGAAGCAGGACTACACAAGATATCAAGACTTGTTTTCAGGCAAATTGTCTTTAGTATAGGTATGTTTTATCTAAAGTGTTTTTTTTATAAATCTTGTTTCATAGACCTTTAATATATTTACCGTAAAATTACACAGACATTTTCAGGGAAAATATTATATTTTGGAGTGTGGCTACCAAACAAAGTACAAGCAATAATATTTATATAAAAGTAAAACCGAAATGTCTTCCAAATTAAATATAGAAATGCATAACAATGGCAAAAAATAATATGCAATTTCTTTAACATGGCTTGGGTTGAACAGGATGCAATTTGAACGAAATTTTGTTTGTAAATATCTCTTGAATTTTGTAACTGGCTAAAGTCTATTTATGATTATATGGTTAGTGCCATGTTACTATTTGGAGTTAGCAGTGTTTTTCCTTGCTGTCTGCGACCCTCAGACCTGAGACACATTTAATTTCAGATTTAAAGTTCACAGAGGTGAGAAAACACAACAGTCTGTCATTTAGTAGACATACCAGTATATGATTTGAACATGAAAGGCTGTTTTGTGCATCCAAATGTAGAAATAGATCCAACATGAAGTGCCAGTCAAAAATATAAACATGAGGAATGGTTACACCCTCAGCAGAATGCTCTTGCTAATTCACAGGCATTATGTCCTATTGGTTTGACCCGTCCAGTTGTTATTTTCAGGTTTTAACCAAGCACTAGTCAGTGCCAGGCTAGAGGACCAGCATCCCATCAGCCCCTGCTCCTCTATTACAGTAAATAGGGTTCTGAAATACAGTCTCTCTCAGCTATGAGCAGATTATTTCATGAAAGTGCAAGAAGCTGAGGATTTGAGGAAGGGTTTCTTTGCATGGCTTATAATATATGTAGCATCAGCAGATAACTGGAGCTCACTATTATCCAGTAACACTGCACCCGCCTTCATCATGGGCTTCCTGCCTGGGATGAGATGATGTTGGAAATCCCAGTGAAATGAAGTTGGATAATGGTAGGATGAGCTAGCTGGACTCTCAGATAGGCTTCCTCCAGGTTATTTGTGAAGGTTTGATTCACGCTCTTTATTGTTCTCAGCAATAGTATTTAATGATCCAAAGATGCCGGAGATGAAACCACTTTGGATTTGTCCCATCTGGCCAAAAGTTTGCCACCTTCACTTCCTGAAACTACTGAAAGGCAATGGATGGTGAGCTCAAAGAGCACATCTGCATTACAAGCAGCCGGCTGTTACCACCATGACAGCCTGAAATATTGAAATCCTGAATTGGGCCATTCAGATTGAGGCTCTATATTTAATCTCAGGGGTACAGAAATGAACATATTATTGGGTCAGCTGTCAGGCCTGTCCTGATGGGAGACATCGGCCCATTACTGTGTCCATTATGGATGAACCTTTAATGTGCCAACACATTAGAGAGGACACGACTTCCAATTACAACCGTTTTACCCTCTGAGTCCCTGATGTGTAAGTCGTGCTTAAATCTCTGGCCGTTTCAGAGCGTAACTGCCCTCTATCAGAGTGATGTTGATGGATGACGTCTGGACTGTACTCCACATTCACACAGTCACTTTCCATCCGTGCGTTCTCGTGCTCCAGCAATTGTGATGATTTAATTTTTTTTAATGCAGGAAACCATAAACTCTTTCATCAGTTCCTCTGTTGTTGTCACAGTAATAAGGGATAATCTTTCTCTTTTGAGTTACGATTAGAGCAGGTGATTATAGTGATTTGAGTTTTTAATGGCGTTTCGTTTCTGTTGAACCGCCTGTGATTGTCGCTGAGCACAGGTGCTTCTCTCGGCTTTCAGCGGTGGAAGAAAGTCACACAGAAGTAGAGAATAAAGCTATTGAATCCTTGTGTTTGCATGAGCACAGGCCCAGAGACGAGCTTTAACATGCAGAATGCAGTATGAATCGTCTGAGTCACTAACACAACGGTCACTTGTACAGTCACAGATATTTCACTCCTATCACTGTTTCGCTCCATCAGCCTGCTATTTATCTTTAATTCTGGGTTCTTCCACAGGAGCTGAAGGCGACCCATCAGAACGGTGCCTGTGCTTCGGTGGCTTCCTCTGCGCTCGTGGGACAGTCCTGGAGGTTTGACGGTGATGGACTCAAGCTGCTGTCATTGGGACTCGCTCTGGCTGCTGTAATCGTGGCTCTTGTGATTGAGAAGCTCCACTGACGCAGTAAAGTCAACTCAACGTGTCGGCCTTATAGAGTGAGCAGCGACCCGAGAACTTAAACCTGTGCTCAAATATAACGTCTTGTGTTTTAAGGTCAAATAAATGTAAATGAGGCTGGATGGTTTGGGACATTTCGTTTTTTAACTGCTAATTAAAGACTGTGTTTAAATTTTAAAGGCTGAAACCTATTTTGCTTGCTAGTGACGCCATCCATTGTGACGTTTTAGAAAAGCTTTCTTTTTTGTGAAGTGCTTTTTTTGTTTGTAGAAATCGAAGCCTCTTTGCCTATGAACGAGGACAGCTTGAATGCGTTTTTGGCTTTCTGTTCATTTTCAATCCCAGCAGTCATTCATTCTCAGGCCAGGTGTCTCACTGTTGGCTTTGGGCTAAGAGCAGCAGACTCTTCCCGTCTTTGTTCTCAGCATAAAGCACGTCTAATAAATGAGACTCCACACTCTCAGCTCTGTCTCCCGGGTTGTATTTCTGGAATGTTTTCTCAGGGTTTTTGGCATGAGGAGGTCAGACGCTTTGTTTTGCACTCTTGTCAAACTACAGTGTGTTTATGACCTCAGTCAGAATACTGTGTGTGTTATCATCTGTGTTCTTATATGCCAGATTAATTGAAAATATAATACTGTTGTTGACAGGATGAAGTGTATATAGAAGCCATGTATACTTTGTGCTCAGATATTACGGGAATACAGTGCAGTAACTGCAAACATTATGCCAAACCCTCATAAGCAATCCTACATACTGCTATGTTCATTCATTTGTCTTGTTGCCTTCAAACTGCACCAGTGCCTGCATGTCTTTATGGTCCAGTGTACAATGTATAGACACGTGCTGTTGGCATTTCCTCACCACAGGAATAGTCTTGTTTTATGTTGTTTCTTCAAACGAGGCTTTGTCAAAGCATCTCAAAAGAGCTCGTAGTTCTCCAGCGGTCGGTTCCTGGCCCAGTGTGTCGCTCCTGAAGTCCCCCACGCTGCCGTCTTACCGGCTGTGGCTTCTGCTGAGCGATCCATGTGGGCGTTTTGGAGTCAGCTCTGTCTACACGAGTGTGTGCAATGATGAGACACGCGTAACCTTAAGCAAGCGGAGATCCCTGGGCGTGTTTGCAGTGTCGGCTGAAGCCTTAGCGAAGCTGACGCCAGTCCACTGGGATGTAGTCAACGCTCCTGGTGTGCTACGCTCTCCCAACATCCCTGGAGGATCTTCTGCCTCCTCCGAGAACGTGAACAGCGCAGATGAGAAGAGACCGCGGTGACCTCCGCACCGTGGAAATGCCAGTGTGTGTCTCTCTGAGTGTGGAGACGGAGATCAAAGGAAGACGCTGCTTTCCTCAGGGACTCTGGATTGTTTTGATAAACACACGCGTGTTTTATGTATGATCTTTTTTCCTTTTGTGCTTATTGAAGTCTATTATATTGAATCACTCAGGAGCCATCAGTGAGCGCTCTCTGGTTCACCTGTCATTGAACACTGTGGAGAAACACGTTCAGTTCAGTGCCGCTCTGCACATTTGATTCCAGGTTTGTTTACTTAAGGCAAGGTTATTATCATTAACAAAAGCCTTTAAAACATTTCCATTACTTGGAATAAAATAAACATGAACTAAAGAAACTTAAAGTTAATTATTAGCCAGTTGCCAAGACAACATTTCTCATTTTCATTTAGTTTATCCTTCCTGCAGTGAAAAAGTGTTCTGGTCTGAATCAGCTCTAAACAAATCTGTGGCTGGATGTTGCTGTGAGAGACGACAGGAGATGGACTTTTACTCTGGAGGAAGCGATATTAGTTAAAAACGTCTTAATGGATTTGTCTCAGCTTTTGTCTTCTCAAGACATTAATTGGATTACTTGTAGATGATGTTTTTATTTTATTTTATTTTATTGTGACTCTCGTTCTGATGGCACCCGTTCACTGCAGAGGATCCATTGCTGAGCAAGTGATGCAACGACACGTTTCTCCAGATCCGATATCTCCACATCTTGAAAGACCACATCTTCAATTTTGGGCGAGCTATTCCTGTAATTGAGCATATTATACAGGTCAACACAACCCTGAAAACTGTAAGCTTTTTAGTCACTTGAGATATTAAAAGAAGCAACCATTTAAAGAACAGTGCAAATCAATTCCATTTCACATCGATCCACAATATTTCAACACTGTTCATGACAAGCTGGAATGACATGGTATTGAGTCAATACAGCACAATGCTTTGCTGATGAGACGTTCTTCTGTTGTGACAGGGAAGTGAGAATCTCGTGGGTTTGGTGCACTCTTGACTTTCATGTAAATAAGGTCTGAATATTTCCCTTCTGCCCTCAATCACGTCTCTGTTGTCGACATAATGCCCTCAGTCAGCGTCAATAAACCCAAACAAACCGCTCTGAGACAGAAACTCTTATCTGTCAGAATGAAAGGAACCTTTTTCACCAAAGACACCAGAACTATGAGGACCGTTTGAAAGCCGCAGTGTGAACGGCGTGTTTGTCTCACGCTAAATCCCGTTAGAGTCTGACCATTTCCAGACTGTGCTGCTCGCTGTTCCCTGAAGCGCCGCTGCTTCTGTCGCGATGCTTGTTTAGTCAAACCCAGGGAAATTAGTTTTCATGAGCTTACAGACTGTATGTGGTGCTTTTTATCCTCTGTTTCAGCTGGGTGGCCCTTGTGTCTTGGATTGGAGCGTCTCGCTGCTTTATCTAATCCACACACACTTCTGCTGCTGCAGTGCACGCTGGGAGTTCAGCAGCCATTGTGACAGCGAGCACTTCTGTTGAGTCGCTTGGGCTCTTGCCAGCATTGCTTGTGTTGAGGCTTATGCCTTTGACTTCGAGCGAGTGAGGCTGTTTGAATACGTTGGGGAGGGACCTAAATAAATATTTAGTGTGTCAACACAGTTGCTCATAACCGCTCTGAGTGACGCACACCTGAACATCCAAACATCAGAGAAACAACAGCTCGTTGCATCACTTAAAGCTGCTTTAAGCGTCTTTTCATCCTAATCTCACTGATAACTGTGTTGTTGCAATGAGTGAGAATAGAGGCCTTACAGTGCAGTACAATTATGTAAGAACATCTTCAGAGACCAATCAGAGGTGCAGAACCAACTGCAAACTCAAGTCACCTTTATTTCTATAACACTTCATACATCAGACATGTTTTTAAGCATCTTTACAATAGTTAGGGTAACGCTAATGATGTAAACTTCATGAGATATGAGACACCTCTATATTCTGCTGAGAAGCAGCTCTGAAAGGCAACAGTGTTATCTGACTGCAGGCTGTATTCCTGTGACCTCGAGGGATAATCGTCAGTCGTATCTTCAGTGATGTTTTGATGTGTCAGGAAAGCCTGAATCTGTTCTGCCGTTAAGCAGCACCTAGCAGTAATCCCTTCACACGCTCATCCAGCTCGTATTCCACTGAAACCTCGCTCAAGCTCGGCTAATTTGTTTGGTCTCTTGTTATTTTGTGTGCACTGACCTGTGGATGGACGTCGTGGTGATGTCTTTTAATCAAGCTGCCGCCCGCAGCACTGAACGGTGACAGTGGAAATTGTCCCCATCACTTGGACTTCCTCTGAGCGCGGGGACCTTTGACACGAGCACTTCAAACCAAAGCAATTACGCTCCTGCTTGCCAGTCTCATCGCGGCAGGAGAGATGGACAAAAGGAATAATCACACATGAGCGCAGGGGAGACAGTGCAGGATCATACAATGTTATTGTTTATTTAGTACTCACCTGAATAAGATATTTCACATAAAAGATGTGTAAATACAGTCCACAAGAGAGAAAAATAGTTGAATTTATAAAAATGACCCCGTTCAAAAGTTTACATCCCGTTGATTCTTAGCACTGTGTTGTTATCTGAATGATCCACAGCTGTGTTTTTAGTTTAGTGATAGTTGTTCACGAGTCCCTTGTTTGTCCTGAACAGTTAAACTGCTGCTGTTCTTCAGAAAAACCCCTCAGCTCCCACAAATTGTGGTTTTCCAGCATTTTTGTGTATTTGAACCCTCTCCAACAATGACTGTATGATTTTGAGATCCATCTTTTCACACTGAGGACGACTGAGGGACTCATACGCAGCTATTACAGAAGCTTCAGACGCTCACTGATGCTCCAGAAGGAGACACGATGCATTAAGAGCCGGGGTGCTTTTGACTTTAACTGTATGTGAAAAAGGGTATAAACTGGGTATTTATATACTTTAAGTCATGGTGTCTTCAAATATTGTTGTTGACAAAGGGGGCATTGAAATCATAAAGGTTGAAAAGCACAGCTTTAGATCAGAATATCAAGTTTAGTCCGAGTTTACCTCAAATCAGAGCAAACTATATTAATAATATATATTATATTAACTGTTAATCAGCAACCTAGAGATGAACTAGACATAATTTTTAATGACTGAATTCTGAGGACTGAAGAAGAATAAATAATGGGCAGCCTTTTTTTCAGAAAGCGAAACAATAACACTCATTTTTCTTAGACCATGAGAGCAATGAACTGGACTTTGGTAGATATGATGCATTTTAAGGGTGTGGATGGAGAGATCCAGCCATACAGACACACATACTGATGGTAAGTGAACCCTTATTCCACTTCTATACCTTAAAATCTTATACGTCTCAAACTCAACATGCGCACTCAGCCCTACATCCACATCTGCCCTAATGACCGACAGCTTCCACTAATTGAAGATAAGTCACACTATTTGGAGTGGCGTAATGATGTTACTGAGCCATAATGGGACAGAAAATGGAATGAATGTGGATAGTGAGTGATGGTTATTCTGCTCTCCAGCCAGACGAGTGCAGCTAATTAGCTTTGTCCTCCACTGCTCCATTTACCAAACTGTTGTGCCACCAATCAAGAGATGAACGAACAATTCAGCTTTAAGATGAAGAAACTGTCCTGTGAAGTGGCTGAAGCCTCAGGTTTGTTGTCCCAGGAGCGTCTTGAGACTTCATTAACTCTCTTAAACATAAAGGTTCCAGAGCAGATTTTAGCAGAGATGCCATAGAAGAACCATTTTGGTTCCCCAAAGAACAGTTCAGTGAACAGTTCATAAAGGAACCATGTTTTTCTTAGTGTGAAGGACAGTTTAATAATCTAAAGAACCTTTTTTCTGCTTTAAAGATCCTTTTGTGCAGTGGAAAGTTTCCGTAGATGTTAAACGTTAAGGAAAGAGGAAAGGAAAGAACCTTTATCTCTAAGAGTGTCAAACCAACAATCAGCTTTTCTTGAGAATCTGACCAAATGGTCTAAGGTCCAGTGTTCGTTATAAGTTTATTTCTGATGGACATCATCTTCAGCTCGTCTTCAGTGTGTTTTAGTGAAGTATTCCCAGTCACAATCTCTTCCCAGCACCATTTTTCTCTCTTTCTCTGCCTAAGCTGTCTGTTACGGGTCAGACTCGAGCAGAACCACCTCAATCTGACCGATGCTTTCTTC